AGGAGCCGTTGTAGTCTGACTCTCAGCCCACCAGTCAGCCACGCCCACAAGCACACATTGGACTGACTGTGAGGTCTGAGAACGCTTTTCAGTTTGAAACCTTCCAAGCCAAAATGCTTAGCTCACTGTGCTTTTCTCAAGCCCGTAGCACACATTTAGCAGAGTAGTCACCTAGGGAAGAAGCCAAGGATAATACTCCTCTCTCACGTGAGAAGTGTCGTTTACAAACATGTATTATTTACTGTTTGGTGCAACCATGTGTGCTTTAGGTGCTGAAGATATGCGATTTGGCCACATGGTATGGTCGGCAGTATTCTACTGTAGGTGTTCGTGCAAAAAAATATGATCTAATGAGGCCAGACGGTGTGTGTAGATGTGCCTGGACAGTGCAGACAGTAAGGCAGCTACGGTGGGTATATCCCGATGCTCCTGACACTGGTACCTTGGTGTCTGTTTGGAGGATTCGCAAGTGACCGACGAAGCCGATGCGCAACGGCAATGCGGGTAGGATAGTTCACAGGTGCTGAGTCAGTGGGGGTTGTGCTGCTGATACATACTGCAGGCAGCCAGTCAGTCATTTACAAGTACGTAGAGTTTAGAATACAAATGAAGCAACCGTTTTTTTTTCCACAAAACCTGGGATGAAAGACAGGTTGTGATAGTCAGTTGAGAGCACAGGATAACCGAACATGCCGTCCCCTTCCCTGCACCGCGCATCACGTGGTACTCCAAGACAAAATATGTTTATGCCTTGGGGCTCAATGTAGGGCTCTCAAATGCAGCCGTACAGCCGCTAGAACTGTAAGCACAGGTAGAGTACCGACAAACACACAGACTGGCTCGGGCTGACCGCTATGGACTTGAGAACTGTCACCAGCTCGTCCAGGTAGGAGCTGAGCTTTGCACCCCGCGTCCTTTGGTCGTCGATAAGTAATAAGTTCAGCCGGCCCGTAGCCCAATAGATAGAGGCTTGAAGTTAATAAAGCGAGTTGGATGCTCGCGTTCTGCAAACCTGACTGTCGCAAGAACGACTTTTAAAACGCGTTTCCCGGCAGTGAGCGAAGCAACACAAAATAGCTTATAAAGACAGCTGACTGATCTTGACTACGCCGAAGATATCACCTTGCTAGCCTCCAGCTTCGGTGATCTACAGTCTATAGTGCCACGGGTGAATCAGATCGCAGCATCAGTTGGCTTGACCATAAATAGCGGGAAGACCAAATTATTCTCGAACTGCCTCCCCGACCAGGGAAGGCACCCCTGGGTATTACTTACCGTCAACTTGAAGGAGTAGAATGTTTTAAGTACCCCGGGGCGAGGCTGCTAAGGACAACATTGTCTCTCAAGTCGATACTGCTCGCCGGGTTTATTCGATCCTCCGAAAACGACTACAGACCCGACGCGACATCTTCATCTCCACAAAGATCTGTGTATACCATACATCCGTCCGGTCAGTCCTCCTCTATGGATGTGAATGCTGGACCTTGTGCGTGGAAGATGAACAAGGACTGGAGTTATCCGAGCACCGTTGTCTGAGGACCATCTTTTGGAGTGAAGTACACTAACTTCGTCTCAAATGAGATAGTCCGCATTCACTGCCACAGTATCGCGAGGATATATAACGTCATTCGCGCTCAGTTCTTGTTTCTTATTTGCTCTTATTTTTATCGCGGCGGTTTATTTAATTGACTTCGATTTGCTTACAGTTATTATTTGTTTGTTTTTTAAATATCTCACATTTTCTGGTTGCCATGAATTCCGTTTTTTAAATAATAGCGCCTACTTTCCTACGCTCTAATTTTCTATTTATTATTCTTGCCCTCATATGACCCATCCATATAACCTCTATTATAACTAGTCCCTTGCATATAATCCTGGGTTTTTTGTGACTGTGGTGATGCTTGTATGGAACCCTTACCTCCTACGTTACACGCTTGCTTTCAATTTACATCGAGAAAAATACCCTGTTTCTACAAATTACCACTCCTACTTGTAGGCATCCCTTGCCACTGTGAAAAGCGGCCGTTCAACAATCCAAATGGAACATCACGATCGAAAGGTACAGCTCCTCATCAACGCGGTGGACTTTAAGAAGGCCAAAAAGCCCTACTTCTGGTCCATCACCTTCTTCACCCTCTTCCTTGTCACCCTCTTCCTGGGTCTGCTGATCATCTGTCTGCGCCACGTCTACATGAACATTGTCCTCTCGCCCTACCTGGGTGAAGCGATCGGTCCACTCATTTGTGGAAGCTCCTTCCTCTTCCTGGGCGCCGGGTTCAAATTCCTTTATGATGCCTACCAGATGGGGGCCAAGGAACGGCAGAAAATAAAGGTATGTGTTGGTGAGACAATGGTTTCATAGGAATTTGTATAAATTCAAAGACCGGAGAAATTAATCTCGCCACATATTTCCCCTACTCCAAAGAGAGTGATAGAGGGAAAGAAATTCAGCTTGAACTGGAAAGTGGCCGCAAGCATTGTTAGTGGCCCAGGTCATTATATTTTTATCGAAATTCTTAGAGGCGTTTTCGATTGGGTGAGATTACTTAATTGGGGCTTCAGATGTTATTGTCATGTAGAACAATTCTATGATATTTCAGATACATCAGGACGCCGGCTTGTTGATTAAAGTCTTTTCGGTTGCCTGCTGAAACCTCAATTTATAAAAAGCGACTACGAAAATGTGATGCATTTTTGCTATCAATGGTCGAGATCCCTGGAAATTGAAGTGTAATTTACAGGAAGAGCAAGCACAGGTATCATTTCTTACGCCCCTTCGATAGCCAGCTAGGCCTTCAAGTTTCCTCCTCGAAGAGAGCCTATCTTCGGCCTAAATGTCTCTGTTTGTGAGATGGTAACAGTATATTATCAGTTAAACTACGAAAACTGACGGCCCCAGAATTCTGTAATACGGGAACGGGGTTAATTTGGGTTATACGGTTGAGACACTGTGGGGCGCAGGAGAGAGAAGAAAAGAAACGTAGTAAGAAACATGAAACATGAAGCATTATAAAATCTAGTATATAGAAACGAAAAAGTGCGCGATAATGAAAAAAAACTCAAAAATGAAAACAATTAATAAACTAATATAAAGATAAATTTAAAAAAAGTTGTCACTGTCACCGTATTACAGAACTCTGGGGTTTTTGGTGTCCTTGGTGTTACCTATGATAGACTGTAACCTGTGAGAATTTTTAAGATCGTATGATGACCATTTAAACTACCTCATATCTGTGCTTTTATTCAGACCCCTCCTGAAGTATTTGCCATTGTCAACATCCATTGTAAAATTCGATGAGCACTATATGGTGTCACCTTGGTGATGCATTGGAATTTGTGCCATTTCTTAAACGGAAGCCGTAAAGCTAAACACAGCGGTGGAACGGACTTAAAAATATTCGGAAGTTAGGAAACTGTTTTATAAGCTAAACCTGACCTTCCTCTGAGTATGAAATTTGAAGAAGACCTGCATTTCTATCAGATTAGTACGTTTCCTATAGCATATATTTGAATTTTCTAGGCTACCTAAAATCTATAGAAAAAATGTACTATTAAAGTAGTCACGTTTTATAAAGTGTGGCTTTTTCAGGCAACCGAAAAGACGTGAACTTAAAAGCCGGTATCCTGGCGCGTCTGAAGTGACTTGGAATTGTGCTGCAAAATAATAACTACTAAAAACCCATTTAAGTAGTCCTTCATCATGTAAAATGCATTTCAGAATTTTAGTTAACGTTTCAAGAGATCGGTCGCGGATTTTACATGTTATCAGCATATTGCAGGAGTTGCTCCTGCTTAGCGGACCATGTTGTGTTAGAAGATTTTTGTTGTTCTGATCGATTGATCCAATTAGCGGTAGCCCATTACATGGGTCGGTGTACACGTGTTTCAGTCTCGAGCATTGGCTACCAGCGTGCAAAATATAAGCGTACTTTAAAATTGCCTTTTGGCACGAATGTTACCTAAGAGCCCAGACACGTGTTCTGTCGAGAGAGGACGGCTCATCAGTGCGTATCGTATCGCCTTCCGTTATCAAAATGCCACATTGATGAATAGAAGTGTTCACAACAATTGACATGTGCGTTTCTGTGAGGATTTGGTACTTAGACAAAACAATCCGTTCGAAATTTTCCTTTTTTGGAAGCTCTTTACAATCTGGGCTTCCGAGTAAGGTCGAATTACGCACACCAGATCTCCTTGAGGACTTGACTCGGTCCGGTATGACACTAATGTCGGCTGCTTAACTGTCACGCATAACCGTGACAATCGCTTGGCACTATTAAACGTATGGCCTTGCGTAGAATATGCCTCTCGGACTAACTTCGTACGGTGTACACATCAAAGAACGTGTTCGCCCGTAAAAGTACTCATGCAAACTTCGGTGTGCAATCGAAACAGCTCAAACCATAAAATAATTAAAAATGGACGAGGCATCTCGTTAGCGCCAAATCAATTTTTAGGAGGAGTATCCACTTTAAAACGTTCTACAAGCTTTAACTTGGTGACAGTTTTGATGACTACTTGACACTAAAAGTTTTAAAGTAAAGCTGTTTTTGTTTTCCTTGTAGTACCAATCCGCAAGTGCATCGACAGTGGCTGTCAAGTTAGCCGAGGCGCCTGCCGTAGAGGCGACGTAAGTTTGCGTTTCTCTCTCTCATGATTGTCGTGCATCTCTATAGCCAAAACGCCGCCCCCTCCTAAAGTGGGCTGCATCGCTGTTGATTTAAATCAAAGCTTACATCGCATCGACTGATTGCAGGCGCTAGGCGGGGTTGGCTGGGTTTGCCTGCATCTCTTATAATCTCATTGCATGCTGCTGCGGATACTGAGGTGACCTCTTCCACAATAAATTTGACAGTTAGACCATGAATAGAAGCAGATATGCATGCCCCAGGTTCTTGTTGTTAATAAGAAGACGCGATCTCTTGAACGGCAATTTTATTCTTCTGAGCTTTCGGCTCCACACGAAAAGCCATCATAAGAGAAAATGAGCAGGCAGCAAGCGTTGGCTACGCATCAATGGGGGTGGGGAGGGGTGGCACTTGTGATTGGTCCATGCCCATGCCATCTTATCGTGTGTCCCCTGCACGCGTCCCTGGAGTTATGGCGTGTGACCTTGATGTGGCAGCCTGCGTGCTTGTACAGGAACTGGGTCGTAATTTCTGGTCGCTAGTACGAATGGCAAAATAACA